CACGGCCGGGGCTGCTCCGCGCTCCGAGCCGGCCGTGCCCTTGCGGGCCGCCAGGGGCCGCTGCGGGAGGGGCAGCGCCGGCTCCCCCCGAGCCTGCGGGGCGAGGGGCAGCGCAGCGCAGTGCCGCTCGTCCTCCCCGCACTGAACAGAGACGGAAAAATGCTGCTGGTGCAACATTAGGCACTGACATGTTCCGGTGCAGAACGTCACTAGTTTTTTTTCTCACAAGCAGCCTTGCTGATCTTCCCTCAGTGATGAATGTAATTCACTCTTAAAGAACCCTGATGATGTAAACTGGAGTACAGAAAGGGAGGAATTTCTTTGAGACACAGCAGTGTTCCCCAAATTGTCATTTGGTTAGGGTGGAATTGTTGTACGGTATCACTGAAGAGGAGTAGATAATGCATCGTAATAATAATTATCGTAATTATTTGGATGAATGATACCTAGCCAGAAAACAGAATGGAAGTATAAAAAGCACTGGCAGTAGGCAGGGGCTTTGTTTTCTAGGGTGAAATCTAAATCTCTCTTGCCTAGTTGGTCATGATCCTAAAGGTTATTTATAAGAAGAGGAATGTTTTGGATTCCTGATCAGCTCTACATTTTAATGCTAGTGATTCTTAAAAAATGTCCTATATCTTTACAGTAGTTTTCTCCCTCACCTGCTGGTTTTTTTTTTTTTGGTTTTTTTTTTTTTAATTAGAAGAGTTTTACACATTTATGCAGACAAATGCTTAGTATAAAAGGTGTAGCAAACACAGTAGATTGTTCAGGCATTCTTATAATCAGGACTGTGATCTAGGTGAATTTTAGTCTGTAACACACTGAAGCTTGATTGATTTTACCATAATCATACATGTACAAAACAGAGAAATTGTAGAAATTTTGTTTGATGCTCATGGAATGAAGTGAGAAAACATGTACTTTTCCTCACTGTAATTTCCTTCAATCATTTAGGCTATAACTCTTTAATATCCAAATGATCTTTTTTCCAGAATCCCATTTTGAGTTTTGAACTACCAATGAACTTAACAGACTGGTTTCCACGCCCAAGAATGAAAACCAAAAGAGAAGAAATACGACAAATAATCCTGACGCTCCAAGAACAGCAGAACAAGGACAAGAAGGGACAGAAAGACCCAAATTCAATTTTGCAGGAAAAGACAGAACAACTTACCAACAACAGCTCAGACTGAATGTTGTATCTGTTGCATGTTAGCTCCACAATCAAAACTGAAACCTACATTTTTGTCTGCCCAGACTAAAGATTTGGCGTGTTCTCTGCTCAAAGTTACTTGGGAATGTTTAATGCCTGTATAAATGTGTGTCATAAAATGGTTTAATTCCCACAAAGATGTGTATTAAGTGAGTCTGTACATATGTTAATGAGGCCAACTTTTTCAGCATTTGTAATTACTTTTTTTCCACTTGATAGGGAGCTTTGGTTATGTATTTCTGTTAATAGAACTTAAATAGCAACTTCTAAACATAAAGGAAATAAAGAAAATATAGGTTGAAATGGTTACCTTTTTCTCTTTCAGTTAAGTTTTAATGTTACATGCTTAAGTAACACATAGGGAATGATTTGGTAGTGAGATAATTAATTCATATTTTGCCCCTATTTAGTTTCCCTTACAAGATTATTCAGCTTGCGCTACAAACAATAATATGGGTAAGTGTCTCAATGTACCATGGCCTCTGAGAGGGTGATTCCCATCCTCCCAGTATCTAAGTGTAGGCAGTGTCATAGTTCATAGGACCGCTTCAGATTTGGGGGTTTAGAAGATATGCATTGCAATTACAATTCCACCCTTGCTTTAGTGGGACAGGCTAGGGAAAGAGGGAGAGTGCTCTTTGACCAGAGGTAACTCTTCAAATAGTATTATAAAAGTGGTTTCAATTAAGTGATCTTGAGTGACTCTATTAAATCATATTTTGTGGATCCCAATTGTTGTACAGGTGTATTTTGAGACTTTCTTCATTATAAAATTGTATTTTGGTAAGTGTACTTGGAATAGCAGATTGCCCACATAACATTTTCTATGTTACAATTCTGAATGTTACATTCATATGTGCTTTATCTAAGTAATGAACATTTAAAAAGAAAAAAAGTGTATGATTACTATTTTTTCTAATATCCATGCAAAAAACCAAAATACCAGTGTTCATTGCTTGCTTGTTTGTTCTTGGCTTTAGGTAGCATCAGACTAATGTAGGGACTTGCTTGGATATTTCCAGTGTGTTTTGATTTTACAACAATCTAAAATGTCATTGTTGCTTAAACTGCAAATGTAGCCTTTTATCCCTCTTCTAGAAAGGCTTTGGCATTGAAATGAGGAAAGTAAGAAAAGATTTGTACAAGGATATATATCTCCATTTTTCTACTAATGCAGATATCTTTGAAGGGAACCAGAAAGTGCCACTTCCCAGGAAGGAATTTGTGGGAGTAGAGCAGGATCTTCTGTCTCTCCTTGCAGATAGTATTTTCTCTCCTGATTTTTCTACTGGGAGTGTCATTTACCATTCCCTTCTCCCAAAGAGAAGCAGCAGAGAGTTCATTAGCTGAACTCTGGGCCCCTTGAGATTTTATTTTTGTACACAACATCAAGTCTAGCCCAGTGCTTCATGGCCTCCATGAGTTTTGATTCTCACTAAACCCTGAAAATACAGCTGCTAATGACATTACTTCCAGGGCATTCCTGCACAGAGGACTCTCTGTGACACCCTTCGATTACCGGGGGGTTCTCTCACCAAGGCAGAGTGGTTGTACATAGAGCAATACAACTGTGGGCTGCTAATCTTTTGTACAGATAACCTGTGGGATTTTGGGGGAGTTGGACATTCCCTGCTTTCTCTCGCATAAACCCTGGGCCCCATGGAGAATATGTAAGCACCACATATATGTGTTCTGTTAGAGATGACTCCTGCAGTTTTCTTGTTGAAAGAATGTGGGGGCATTTTCCTGGACTATAAATTAAATACTTAATGTGCACATCTCCGAGTTGTTTCCTCCTTCAAATTTTTATCCAGTATTCTTGCCACTGGTGGGGAAAAATAGAGATAAAGTAGTTCCAGATTGTGGAAATGCAGGGTCTTGTGTATCTGGCTTCAGTGCAACTGACATATTGGAGTAGTAGTTTATACAAGAGAGAGAAGGAAAATAATTTCTTTGAAATAGAGGAAAGACAATTGCATATAGAATGTATTCCTTCCTAGTCTAGGCCTTCCCAATGATATGTTTTAATTATATGAAATATATCCACATTTCATTGATACAGTAGTTTTCCTTTTTCTAATATTTGTCATGCAGGTTCATATTTTGATGCTGTAGAACTATTTTGTTCTCTTACTGGGAATGGCCTGGTGCTTCCTTCTTTTCCTTTCTCTTTCCTGTCCTCCCCTTCATCCTCCCTTTTACCCGTTTTCAAAGCTGTGAAGAAAGTGTTGGATTTGCTATCATTCAGTGTTAATGGTCTCGAGATCTTCAGTCACATACGGCAAGCTAATATACATGTTGAATATAGGAAACCTATTTTTTTAATAAAATGTGACGTTAATAGAAAAAAACCTACAGAATTAAGAATGAGTTATTTAAGACTTTCTGACTTTAACAAGTCACTATTGCATGTGCTTGGTAAGTGTTTTTTATTAACATGATGGTGGGCAATGCTGCAGTGTTTTGCAATCTTAACAAGTTTTACCAGTGCCTTTCCTGAATCAGATTTGTTCAGTGGAAGCTAGTAGGGTGGGGACCAGATGAGTGTATTTAATAATTACATGACAACATATGTATTCTATGGGAAGTATATGTTGTATATTTCTGTAGACAATTCAGGATTACAAGTGCTTTAAGAGTAGCCTGACTGCATTCTGCAGTGTACGGGATCAGATGGCTACCTAATTAAATGTATCTGTTTGTATTGTTTTTCAGGTTGGGTAGAATAACACTTCAGAATTCTTATTAAGGTTTTAGATTACTTAGCATAAAAAATGCATGTACTTGTGGTGCACATTTGCAGGATAGCTGCAAAAGCAGAAGAGACATCTAAGTAGTCCCTTGTGACATTTCTATTTTTCCTGCTGAGAAACTGAGCACACTCTTTAAAGACCAGAGACTTTGAACAGAATTGATTTTTGAGGTTGTAATACATTCTTGTCTTGAAAGAATCTGACTTCCAAGACATTCAGTAAAAAAAGTGAAAAATCAAGCAAGCTTTATAGCAAGATGAGGAAACTGTTCATTTTCATTTTTTACAAGTTTTGCATAGCAAATGAGAAAAGCAGAACATACATGATTTTTAATTTCTCTTAATATAGTACTTCTGGAAACTGAAATACCAGACTTCTCTTATAAACAAACAGCAGGGGTTTCCTTAATTTAGTAATTCATATTTTCCCCTCTAATTTTTAAATAGAATGGAGTTTTGGTTGCTGGTTAAAGCTTTACATTGATAACATGACACATGTATTTTAGCATATGAACAGAAGTAGATGCTTGTTTTTTGCAGTCCTGATTCCTGAGAATGATGAGAGGTACTGGAGTCTGATTTAAAAAAAATTCTTTTTATTTTGGTACAACACTTTTTATAATAGTCTTTCTTCAGTGCTGCTTATTCAGTACTCCTAAAGAACTTTGCAGTGAGTTGGGTTCACAAAGGTGCTTCTCCCAGTTTTTTGACTTTCCCCATCTACTTCTGGAAATCAGAAGGGAGCTGATGTTGCAAATGACAGCTTTGAAACAATAAGAGTGAGACAACAGCCATTTTATTTACCTTTCACCACCATTTCAAAGTAAATCCTTTCTGCTTAACTCAATAATGCCTGCTCAGAGCTATGATGAAAATGTCTGTTTTCTAGGCTCGTCTGGTTAGGGGAGGCTGTAATCTAGAAGATGATTGTTCTGTCAGTTGTGGTCTGATGTAGTTTTTTGACAGGCTTGATTTTGCTTGTTTTTAACAAATTTGCATTTGGAATTGTGCAACCCTGTGGTTACAAAAGGAAACTGGGTAATGTACACCATTCCTTATGGATTCCTTATTCAGTTTGGAGAGTAATTGCTAGCCACAGCCTAGATTCAGACAGCCAGCTTGTTTCTTTGCTTGTTTATATTTTCCCGTTTGTTTTTTCCCTTAGGTTTTTATTTCCTTTCAGACTCACAGTTGATGTTCCTGTGGGAGAGTAAGCTGTGCTATTTGCAATGCATGATGCTTAAAAAGATAGATAAGCAACGTTCATACATGAATATATATGAACAGAAGATTATCTGGATTTAAAAGTATCCAATTTCTAGCAAATGAGACAGACTTGACTTACCTGCCTTTTTTATTTTTTGTCTTCCCTTCTTTCTTATTTGTTAATGCTTATTAGTCAGTATATAACTCGCTAGAGTTCTTTGGGGTATGACTTTACCCAAACAATCATTAGATAAGTAATACAGCAGTGGCAGGAAAGAAAATTATTGCCATTTTTAAAATAAAGGGTTCTTGTATATCTGCAGCAGTAGGGCTGAATGTACTGCATAAACAGATGGTTTATTTTAATAGAATAGTCGAATCCACATCGTACAACTGTCCATTTGCAGTTTCTTGGTTTTAGATGATCCTTAAAAGTTCCATTGTCAGGACCAGGGTATCTTCTACTGTAAGCTGATTGGGTAAGGGTGATGGGAACCAGACTAGTTTGCTTCAGCTGAGTATTTATTATTCCCCATTAGTTGTGAGGATCCACTTAGAGAAAGAGCATCATGCTCTGGCCAGCCTGAGCTTCCTGCCTGAAGAGTCTGTGTAGACTCTGGCCTAAACACAAGATTAAAACGTGAGATTTCCTTAGTGGTGTACCTTAGGGAAATTTATCAACTATTTACGCAAAACTGTATCTGTTTAAATGTATTTCTAAGTTTAGGAACTTGGTTTACCTTTACATATATGCTCATGTCAACTAAATATTCTGTAACTAAAGATACCAATGCAATGTCTCACAGCAGTAATTTGCAAACTGTTAGCAACCTGTACCCCATTGTCCTCCAGATGTAACTGTTTAAAACAAGCTCTGTGACAGTGCCTGTTTACATCAGACTTCTTCCTAACTTCCATTTTGAAAAACTAGCCTGTTTCCTGTATCTTTATGTTTATTTAAGAAATGCAGTGGTAGTCTGGACAGAGACATTACTAAACATTGTACCAAGCCTATGACATTAATTATAGGAACTCTCAGGAAATGCTTCAAAGTTTCTAGGATCTAGAGATTTAGGATCATAGAATGGTTTGCGTTGGAAGTTACTTTTAAAGATAATCTAGTTCCAACCCAGCTGCTGTGGACAAAGACACCTCCCACTAGACCAGTTCAGAGACCATCCAACCTGGCCTTGATGAATGCTACACTGTTTATGTGGCAGACTGAAAACAGTAATTATTCTAGTTCTAGAGAACTTCATATTTGCCTCTTCGGGCCAGGAAATTTATTTTATACTATATATATAATCAGTAATATGCCAGATAGTGTGTCAATTCTGTAATACAAAAAAGTCAGACAGGCTAACCCCAAAAGAGCACTATTACAGGATGACATGTTTCTCACAGAAAATAGCACTAAATAGGTCATAAATTATACTGGAATGCAAACAAGTGGAGTATGTTTTTTACTTAAATGTTCCTCAGTCCTGAAACCTAAACTGCTTTGTAAACAATATTGTCATAATATCTCCATGTTACAAAAGGGCATTGAAAGGCCGTGAGAAGTTGCACAGCTTCCTCCCATCCTATAAAACCACTGAAATTTCTAGATTTCAAACAAAATTTGCAGTGCAAATGAATGTTTAGGTTCCAGAGTCAAGAAGACATTTTTAAGCAAATGTCTGGAACAACGTGTTGATTATTGTGTTTGTATGGACAGCTTATGATGCAATATTTAATTAAAAAGTCATATAGCTTTTAATTTTTTTTTTCCTTCTGTGAAAGCCAGGTGTTTGTTTTGCAAGGACAGTGTTCTGTGGATGAATTTATTAGCTCATTTTTGGCTCTACACCTTACTTATCATGTACAGTCTTTTTTATGAGTTTATCATTCTGCTCTCTTTCATTCTCCATCTTTCATACACGGTTAATGAACTTGAATGCAGTAGTTAGTCTGAGTTCTAACTTGCCTTCTCACTTGCATCCCTGTATCTTTGTTCTCTGTGTAAAACAAGTAAGTTTGTGGAGTCAGTGAAGGTTCCCTATTTCATAGGGACATCGTTGAATTCAAATAATTTCTTGAAATTTTTGTCAGGCCAGTTAGATGCTAGGTGGGGTGAACTTGGTTTCATTCTTATTTTGTCCAGTCAGAATTACCCATATCATTATCTCCATGTTGCAAGTTGAGTGCTGGTGTTCAGGGGAAGACATTAAAAGCATTTTAGTTTAACTAAGCTAAGCTACTCTAAACTGCTGAGATTCATGCTTCAGCTACTCTCAGTTTTGAGCATTGAAAAGTAAGCTTAAAAAGATGCTTGCTGTTTACTTAGCTACTTGAGAGAAACCAGATTTGTGGTTAGAACTGTTTTCCTAGTCTGAAATTCTATTGACCTGAGATTTATTTGAAGCCAGCGGTTGAAATGAGTGTTTAATTCTGTCTTCCAATTTCTTGCTCTGTTCTTTACACAGTGCAGTGCTTTCAACTGTGCTTGTATAGAGCTGTTGTTTGATTATTCTGGGTTTGGAAACTCTGGCAAATCTGACCCTAAACATCAAATTGGGCACCTGAAAATGAGAATGTAGGTAGGTAATGACAGCTGGAAAATTTTTGTAAGTAAATTGCCAAATGGATAATTTTCCTGTAGCAATAGATCATGTGCTTGTGTTTGAAAAACATTATTCAGATGATTAAAAAAATTATACTTTTTTCATTACATTGTCATGAACAATATGAATCATATAGCTTGTAGTTGTCTTTACTGTAAAATTTTAAGTTCCCTAATCATTGACTTAGCATCTGTTGCAAGAAGTGGTATCTGAAGAACGTGTGATCACACAGACATTTGTACATGCAAGGGGACTAAATTAAGACTCCTTATACAATTTAAAAATTTTTGGATGCTTCCAGCCTTCTTAGTGGTTATGTTTGTCTTGCTTTATGTGTATTTTGCATTGTGTACACTTTGGTTTTTCTGACTTACATTGTCCATATATGATGGTCGCTCCTAGAACTAATGCCACAGTTCTCGGGTTTGTTACTCCATAAGTGGTCATAGTGTGTTGTTATTTTCTTGCTTACCTAGATGAAAGCATGTGAGGGGAGAATTTGTTCTGGTGATTTTTACAGATTTTACCCAAGCATCACTTGTCCCTTGCTGTTTTCCCTCCTTCCAAACCCCTGATGAGATCCCTTGCGTACTGGTTCTTCTCTCTTGGCTCTTATATCTGTTAATATTTTATTGTGTCTCTGAGCTCAGTTCTTCAATCTACACTCCAGAAAAATGGCCACTATCTTTTTCCCTCTATGATCTTGTGTTGCCAACTTCATCAGCAGAGAAGCTGAGGAAGTATGGGCTGGATGAGCAGGCAGTGAGATGTATTAAGGGCTGGATATCTGAACCTGGAGGTGGTGATCCATGGTGCAGTATCTAGTTGGAGGCTGGTAACAAACTGACCTGAGGCAATGAGGCAAAACAGAAGAGGTTTTCTCTGAGCATCAGGAAACACTTTTCTGCCGTGAAGGTGACCAAGCACTGGCATGGATTGCCCCAAAAGGCTGTGGAATCTCCATCCTTGGAGATACTCAAAAGCTGTCTGGACATAGTCCTGAGCAGCTGGCTCTAAGGGTCCCTGCTGGAGCATGGGGTTGCACCAGAAAACCTCCCGAGGTCCCTTCTGACCTCAGCCACTCTGTGATTTGAGAGTTTGCTCTGAGTTCCTGTACTCGGTGTGACAAACCTGGCTGATGCTGCAGAGGAAATACTGGGCAGTGCTGCAGTGGGAGGGCTGCAGTTCCAGGTGTGCTGTTCTGAGAATGAAGCTACAGGGGTCGAGGCCAACCCACAACTGATGCTTGTCAGAAGTTCACAGCTTCACTAAGTTTGGTTGTATTTCAAGACGGTTGGCAAAAGGCACAGCTCTGGCATAAAACACAACTTGCTGCCAAATTTAAAACTATCCTACAAGTCTCTGGGCAACTTCATTAGAAAGTATAATCCGTGTTACTGTTCTTTAACAATGTGAGCAGAAACATTTTAGCTAGCATTCAATTTGCAGCAAATACCTAGTCTGGAAAACTTTAAACTGAGCAGCCAAAGGTTAGTGAAGGTATTATAAGCAACTGAAAGCAAAATGCAGCACTTTTTTGGTACCTGCTATTTTTCTGGAATAATTTGAGTAGTAGTGCAATTCCTAGAACTGTTTGTGAGCAGATAAGTGATTCAGATTATTAGCACATTTAGTAACTGAGTCAGAACTGGACAATTTGGCATTCTCTGGGCCAAATAAGCATGCCAGGAGAGAACATCATGCTACAGTGAGTGTTTAACTTCTCAGTGAAGTTTGCCTTATCTTGCACTTAAAGTCCTACCACAAGAGGTTGAAGAGCTGGTGGTGGAATTTAAGTGTGGGTGTAAAACCCAGTTCAAGGGCTGCTCACTAGCAGGAAAGTACTCAGGGTGAGGTTTAAGATAATCTAGTTATCCCACATATGGGAGGGGTATGGGGAAGCAACTTGAGTCTGCCTGTGCTTTTGGTAGTGTTCAAGTGCATGTGTAACTGCGCTGCAAAGGAATAGAGAGCTGAAACAATGTGCTTCTTTGGCAGCCTATTTTTCTGGCAAAAGAGTATTATTCCTTCATACAGCAATCAGTGGTCCCCCAGCAAGCTTCTTAAGTGGTTTTCCCAGATGGATAGCAACAACACAGTTCACATCTTTGAGAGTGGATTTATTCAAGAAACAATGTAAATTACACTCAGTCTCTTCTGTATAACAACCCCACAGTGATAAGTGAAGGCTAGACAGGAGGGAGGTGTCTGCAAGAGCTTTGCATTCCTACCTTAGCAGCATTAGCAGTCTTCCTTTTCAGTGTTTTTCTTGTGTATATTTTTTCCTTTCTTGCTTCTTACATCAACATGAAGCATAGGAGAGTTACAGCTGGACCCCCATTTTGCCAGACCTCCTCTGGTCCCTGCCTAAAGGTGTATTAGAATTTCATGGGGATTACTTACTCCTCTTAAATTTTTCTTTCCCAAGACTAGCTCAAAAACTAAAGCTAAAAATACCTAAGATGAACAGTCTGAAATGGGATGGAAAAAAGTCCTCAAGGTATGTTTAACAGGACGTAATTGTTCACAAACACACTAGATAAACTGTGGCTTTTACAGAAATATTTACAAATCAGTTAATAACCCCACAGAATTCCCTTTGCTAAGAAGTGTGGGAAGCTCTCAGTACTGTGATCTCAGTATTGAATCCATACTAAAGTTCATTTAACTGCAGGTGAGTAGCCCCTGCACCATGAAGGATGGACAGCCCTATTCCTGATATTTACAGGTTACCCCTTTATTGCAGGCTACTTTTGTTTTCCAAATGAGCCTATGATTATTTTACTGGCAACTGCTGTTCATCACCGGAAAGGAATTCCAAGTAGGTGATCACAGAGTGCATTGAAGGGGAAGGGGGGCAGGAAGCTAAAATAAAAAAAAGCCAAGTCTGTGGTAATTTGTATTCCATGTTATCTGTGTGTCTTTTCCTGGGTTCTCTTTCCTACACTACAGCTCCTCCCTGTCCTCCAGATGATGTATCTAAACCAGTGGGGCCCATACTCCTTTTAAATATGCATGAGAGTGGGCCCATGATATCTTTGCCAAAGAGGAGCTTCAGCAGAAACAAAAGAAAATTCTTTCCCCAGAGACATGGGGCGTGTTGTACCAGGAATGGAATTCATCTGTCTTCAAATACTGGGATGGCTCCAGGAATATCTTCCAGCTACCCTGGGGTACGGTAATCTCATTTTCCTGTCCTCACCATTTGTGTTTATAGAATGAATTCACTCACAAAAGTAAAACAAAAAGCAGTGGACTTGAGAAGGATCGCAAGTTCACAAGTCAGGGATTCCCCTTACCTCCTTTCATGCTATTATTTATGTGAGCCTTGTTCTCTGGAGCTACCCGCAATTCAAAATAATCTATTTGCTTAATTGAATTATCCTTTAAGGAGAGGAAATTGAAAAATGGGGCCAGTTCAAGAGACTTAACTCTCAGTTAAAAAACAGCTTCAGAAACCAGTCACACATTGCTAGCGGTGAAAATGCAAAACCATGGATCTTCCTAAACTAACATGTTGTCAAAGAAAGAAGTACTCACAGATTGAAATGAAACAGGAAGACTTTAAATAGGAACTCTTACCTTAAAACACAATGTCTGTATTGAGCTGTTGAAATACAGAAGGCCTATGGAAAAGTTAGGATATTGAAAAAAATTCAGGTGTAGTCAAAATAGATGTTCATGTAAACTCTGCAGGAAAGAGAAAAAAAGGATCATTTCACTACTGTCAAAATTGGAGAATTATGTACGTGCACATAACATTAAGTAAAAGGGAGCAGATAAAACTTACACATTTATTTCCAGTAAATAATTTACATGATAAGGAAATGAATGGTGCTTATCTAGAGTAAGCCTGCTTGGAAAAGAACCAAAGATTGATCCTGGAAGGAACGTCATCTACTACTGCTAAAATCCCAGCAAATTTTCTTGTTCTTTCTCTGAACATAAGCTGCTCAACCTTGAGCCAACTTAGAAAGGTTCTTTTGCAAACATATGAGCAAACTATTCTTTATCCAGATAAATAATAGATAAATTGTGCTGGCAGCTTTGATAGCCACATTTGCAAACTCTGCATGGGTAATTCCAAAACTGTTCTATAACCAGTGACTTTAGTTTTTATCAGAAACTGACTGTCAAACTATAAAACAATTTTTAGGGAGTGTCTAAGTGCTAAACCAGAATACTCAGCTGTTAGGAAATGCCGAGAGCTGCTGCTGGCAAGCTGTGAGGTATTTTACCATGACCATGTTACACAGATAGTGTCCTTACATCTCACTCATGTACACTTAGAGTATGCTAACAAAAGAGTGTAAAGCAAATGAACTTCCGGCCTCACATTAAGTCATCAGCTATGACTTAAGTCAGTGCCCATGGACATTTTTACAGGCAGAACTTTATCCATTGCATGCAATGTGTAAAACAGTTGTAGCTATGTGTAATCCACAGGGAAAGCCAGCTATTATCAACATTATTCAAACACAAGCATTACAGCTGGAGAGATGCATACAGTAAAGGCTTGAAATCTATGTCAAACCAGATTTTTGTATTTAATTTTTCATCATATAGTATGGGGAGATAAACTGAGCAGTCATGATACAAAACACTTAAGAACAACCATCTCAGGAATGAAATTTTTAATGTAACTGTGAGCACCTTTGCCTTTTCCTATTTATATTGAATAGTCTGAAGTTTGATCCGCTGAGTTATACAGAAGAATTCACTTTCATTGAAATTTAAGTAGGACTTTGTATGGTCTTTGAAATGAAAACACATGTGATATCCTCTCAGGGTTTTCTGAGAAATCACCTGGAGTCCTTTCCCTGCCCCTCCTTTCAAATTACCACTGGGGCTTTGAGCAACCTGGTCAAGCAGGTGTCTCTGCCCATAGCAGTGGGGCTGGAACTAGATGATCTTAAAAGTTCCTTCCAACCCAAATCATTCTGTGAACAAAAACCTAATATCCTCTCGGGGTTTTCTCAGAAATCATCTAGGGTCCTTTACCTGTTCATTCTTTCAAACTACCATTCAACAGCTCTGACAAAATACAGTGGTTCCTGCAATTACACATCTTTTTAAAAAATATATGGCAACTTTAATGACAAAAGCTGTTTACTGTCCATAACAACCTGGATTCATATTAAAATGTTCGATTTTAATATGTGGGTGAATGGAAACACCTTGGACATCCGGAGTATCGTCAATTCTTTGCGGCAGCGCTACAGGAGGTGCAGGTCCATGTCAAGTGTCAAAATGTCGTGCTGCCTTGTACTGTTGATCTTTCTGCTTTTGGAATGCTTGTGGAATTCCTGGTAGGCCATCCAGAACACGGAGTTTGCACATTTAAGATGGTGCCTATTACAGCTATGGTTCCTCATGAGAGACTCTCTTGCTGTGGTGTGCACAGTGTGAGGCTGCCCTTGGTTCCAGCAGCGCTGACACGCCACCTCTGTGCATTGCCACTTGTGAATGGAAGCTTCTCCACTGCTGCTTGCCCCGCCTGGTGCACCGAGGTGTGGGAGGAACAGGGTGATGCTAAAGGCATTCAGCCCTCCCTCTCAGCCTCAACCTGCATCTGCTCTTTATACAGCTATTAAACAAAGACTGCTTGGCAGCTCCAACCCATCCACACTGTTCCTGTGCACACTGTTCCCGTCTTCTGAAAAGTCTTGGTTAGGCTGAAATTACTGAGGTTCATCCAATTTTCCTAGGAACGAAACTGGAAGTGCTCTTTACATACAGACAGTGGGTACAGTAAAACATGTTTTCCCTTGTTTTCTCTTTCCACTTCTCCCCCCCTCCCCCGTCTTTGCTTAGGTTGAAGTACTTGCACTCCAATTTCAATTGTGAGTCTTCCTGTATTTTCCCTGAAGATTCACAGAACAGATGTTGCTGTATCTTGGGTTATTTTTAAATTTCCCAGGGAGAAAAGAGGGGAGAAAGTAGAGACATACTTCTTCCGATGAGGGAGAGGCACATCAGAGGATGAGATAGTGCTCAGCACTGCTTGGATTGTTTACACTGAAAGTATTTTGTTGATCGTTCCCTGACATTATATCCTGTTTTGCTAAAAGAGGTGGTTTCAGCCAGAAAATTTACATTTTCATTTACTTGTCCATTAACTTTTTTTTCCCCAGATAACAGTTACCCTTATCTCTCTTTTACAAATAAAAGTAAGGCTGATTGTAAAAAGTACTGCCCTGAAAGGTAATGCCAAAGACAAACTTCTGTGCTCTAGAAGTTATACAATGTTTTGATTGTCCAAATTGTTCCATTCTAAATTATGTCAAATGAAGATGCAACCATCAAATTCACCTTGCCACTTTGCAGGCATTTGGAATGTTTTAAAAACCAAAACAAGTTCACAGCATATTTCAGGAGCTGTAGGAATGTTAATCTGGACACAGGATTCAGCTCCACCCGTGCTCTGCCCAGGATGCAGGATTACTCATGCACCTAATGCACTGCCATTTTCCCTCCGTGTGTACGTCCAATCTGATCCTCAACAGAACCCCTTGAGTTTCTCTAGGTTCCCCCGAGAGAAGCCCCTGGGATTTCTCTTTGTCATCTAAAAGAGGCCAAGGCATTGTTAGGAGTATCATATCTACATGGGCAGCTGTGGCTTGAAGAAATTTATGTAAATTATTTATTAGCTAGCGGCCGTACCCACGATGTCCCCGGTGCTGTCCAAACACTCAAAAAGGATGCAGTGAAATACACCCTGCTTAAGGAAAGGTAGCTAGGGCTACAAAATCAAGGAAAGCACAAGATTTTGAAGTATGGTTTGTTTCCCTTTGTCACCAAAATACATATGAACAAACCATAAGGTGGAGGACAAGGAGGCTTTGCACGGGGTCATTTTGCTGCTCGTGAAGTATTGCGTGGAGAGAAGCACAGCGCTATGGGAAAGCTGACAAACCAGCTGGCGACGCCAGGAATGGATCGTGGTAAAGCCAAGGGACAGGGAGTTGACGGAAAGCTGTCGCACGGGAGGGGTGGCTGTGAGCAGCACCAGCCGTGTGACACCCTGGCTGAGCACGGTGCAAGGCCGTCCCTTTGGGCCGCTCTCCCGGCCACAGCAGCGCAGCAGCCGCAGAGATGAACGGCTGGCTGTAGGCACAGGCCAGGGAAATCCCGCAGAGCCCAGGCTGGCCCTGGGCTGCCTTGCAGCACATACAGGGCTACAGGGGCGGGCGATGCTGTCCTGCCATCCATCGCTGCTCCCACCCGTCTAACATCCGCCAAGGCAGGACCCTGGGGACGCGGCAGGGACAGGGGGAGCCTGGGAGAAGAACCGGGCTGAAACAGCCTCTGACTTCCAAGGTTTGTGCAGCAGGAGAGCCGCCACCTGCTCCGCACCTTTCTTCATGGGGTGATGGTCAGTAAAGACAAAGACAGCTCCCAAAATGGTCCTTTATGTAACCGCGTCGGTAAAGAATAAAGGAGGAGACCCAACTCACGCAGAATAACCACGGGTCAGCCCCTCAGCACTTTCGCGCAGGGCGCTGGCTGCGGGCTCGGTACGGCCGAGGG